CAGACTTTTATAGGAGGACTGTAAATTCTTGCCAGTTGTCACATACTGCATAAGACCTTTTTTATTTACTTTAATAATAGTTTAAAAAGTAAAATGGGCTTATTGATATGTTGGTCTCCAACTTCCTCAACAAATATACAGTGTAAAGTATTTCTCAGATGATTTGAAAAAATGTAGGAAGATATCTTTAAACTTCCCTCAGTGACCATATAGAGTGGCACTTCCCTGTTTACTTCAGCACAGAGGTATTGCATAGCAAGTGAAGGCTGAGGTGGCCAGAAATAAAAGCATCTAATTTGCACAGCCTCACTCAATTCTCACAGTAGTGTACGGACTGTTATTATCACCACTTCACACATGAGGAGGCATGAGGCTGAGCAGCTCTCCCAGGTTGCAGTCATCCAGGCCGTGTACACCATACGGCTCCCCTGACATGTTACTGCAGGGCTCGGCTGAGGATCAAGGTTCTCCAGGGCTGGCACCTGTGCTGAAGTTGGCCCACAGGCCAGTTCTGTTGTGTGGCACACAGCTGCTGTCACTCAGCAACCCCCTAGCTCAAACAACTACATATAGCTGATGTTTACTGAGCACTTACTCTATGCCAGGTGATCTGGAAAGTGCTTTGCATACCTTACTTATCTCACCAGATCTTCCTAACAACCTTAGGTGCTAAGAGCTGTTTTATCTCCATTTACTTATGAGGAAACTGAGACTTAGGGAAGGTAAGTTACTTGTTTAAGATCAACAGCTAGTAGTTGTAGGGCCAAGGTTCATCATTATGCTCTTCTGCTTGGGAGCTGAGCTTCTAACTTCTGGCTCCTAGTGAGGTCTCTGCTAGCACACATTTTCTGTAGGTCGTGTTGAGTGAGGAACTTCCTGCAATTACGAGTTAAGAGTACTTTCAAAAGAGAAAGCCTGGTTTAATGGCGGATCTGGAAGAGGAGGTGATAGAAACCCTCCCCTTCAGTAGGATCTGAGCAAAGCACGTGACAACAGCATAAACTATGGAAACAGGAGCTCTCAAAGTATTCGTGGCTGTTTACCATGTGGCCTTCATCCTTAACCAGCAACTAGCCTTTGTTTCTACTTTACTTATATATATACAATGTATATTTCCCCTTCTTTCATTCATTTGGCCACTATTGAGATCTTAAATGTTGTAGTTGCCAACTATAGCCAAAAAACTCTAGCAGAATTAGTTGAAAGTAGAATCGACTCATCTATATCAACTATTAATATTGTATTATAACAGAATAATTATAGTAATGTCAATTACATAAAATGAAAGTATTAATACATATTAGATTCTACATGATAATAATAAATGTTTCATTCTGGAGTCTTCCCTGGATATCTTTTCTTTCAATGTCCCATAAACTCTCACTCTCTGTCAGTCTCCGTTGTAGGTACTATAAAGGTAAATGAGCCATGGACTTGTCTTCAAGGAACGTGTAGCCCCTTTTGGGAGACAACTGATAAAGAGCTCTGAAAACGCAAAGGCTAGGATGCAGTTCAGAACGGAGGGGGTAGGCTGGAAACACTGGCCAGGAAGGACTCTTGGAAGGGTTGAATCCGGAACATGTAGTCTATCCCACTGATGGGGAAGGGTTGGTAGCTGAACAAATAGGCTTGGGAGTCAGGCCTTTGTTCCCTTAAATGTGAGATACTCTCAAGTTCACAGGGCTGGGATGATAGGATACTTACACAGATAGATTTAGAACAACATAAACACTCAATACAGGAGAGCTATTATTTTATGGTATATAACAACATTAAAGCAGTCTACATCTTCAGATAGAATGGACTTCAAGTTCATGGACTTTGTATAGATTCTCCTTATCTCCTCAAATATTAACCACTTGTCTAGCCTTCCTAGTCTCTCCTACAATGCCTCTATCCCTAAAGTTGCTGCTTACAGTACTGAGGCAACTATAGGGAAATACAACCAGGGAGATGATGTTTGGGCTAAGGTGTCACGGAACAACCTTACTGTAGCTGTCAAGAGTCTCCTTTAAAACTGAAGGACATATTCTGGATGAGAGTTTGGAAAAATTTGACTGACTCTTGATTAAGAGTAAGCTCTAGAATTAAAATAGATTTTATTGTCATCTTCTTTAAATATAAAGGTAAAAATCATTATTCTCCAAATAAAGAGAACATCAAACATCAAATCAAAATATACAAAGAGAGTTTTCATATTGATTCCAACTTAATTATTTTCAGTGAAAATATTAATCAGAAAAGTTGTCATTTAAGATTCCTGCCCTCTCTTGGAAAGTCAAGTAAGAACAACTCAATAAACCACCTTGTATTTTAGTATAAATTTCAAAATCATGTTTGTAAACTCTGGGAGAGGTAAGTTCAGTTTTCCCTTTGGCCTTCACTCAAGCTCCTGTCCTTCTCTTGCACAGCCACATCTCCTTTAACAGATGGTTCTCCGCAGCAGAGGTCCTCCAGTCCGCTGTGACGGACCGGAAAACCCGCAGGAGGGTGCCAGACAGGGCGGCGTGAGCTCCGCAGGCCTGCCTGAGAGTGGCCTCACGGAGGCCCGCAGGCAGCTGCGTGTCTCTCTCTCTCTCTCTCTCTCTCTCATCTGTGAGCAGCAGCAAGGCCGCAGGTCTTCGTAGTTTCTCTCTGGGGTCTGCACTGCTCCTCTCTCTGACATTCACCTCTCTTGGCCATGGTTCTCCCCACTGTCACAGGGCAGGTCTCTAGCCCCCCACTCTGATCCCAGTGGTTCCCCCTGATCCACGGGCCCCAGACTCTCCTTTTCAGTGCCTGGGGTCCTCTTTGTCCCAATTGTCCCCATTGTCCCCCTTCTACCTTAATCTAAGTGTGAGGGAGGATCAGGAGGCCCAGAGGGGATGTTCCAGCTGTGAATTTCTGAAGAGGAGCCCTGCTGTCCACGGAGAAGGGGCCTGGGGCCGAGCACCCCAGGCTCAGGCAGTGAAGGTGGGAGCAGAGCCCCTGGCCGCTGTACACAGTGCGTTCCCGCGCCATGGGTCCTGTCCACTCCTCTCTCTTTCACCCTCACCTGGACTTCAGCCGCTCCCTTCTCTCTGCCTTGGAGACTGCTGTTGCATAACTTACGTTTTTCAGAATGTCCAGTGCTATTTTAATAAACATTTAATTCAGTTTTCATACTGTCTGTTTCATACTTGTTCTGATACTGGGATAAGACTCTTAATGCCTCTTATTTCTATCTGAAAATGAAGCTTATGACAAAGAAATATGTTGATGGAGTATAATATCTTCATTAACAGAAGTAATTAGTAAACTGACTCAATTGTCATTAAGGAATATTTTAATTTGCTTTTCCACAAAATAGTGATGGGTGGATAACAAATAACCCATTAAGAATTGTAAATTTCTTTATTTATCATATCCATATTAAAATATCAGTAAAGGGAAATAAATATTTAAAAACTTGACTTATAATTCTACCGTTCCAGATAGCTGTTGTTTTTATTTTACCATGTTCTCTCCTGGGGCTAGGCTCTGTACCTAGGAAGCTGCCGGGTGGGGTTCCCAAGGCACTTCTGCCGTAGAGGAGTTCCTGTGAAGAGCTGTATTCCATGTGACGACTGTACCTGGTACTAGCTCTTGGTAGGGCCCACAGTTTGACTTGCTGCATGAAGCAGCTTTAGTCAAGTATCTCAGAACTGTGGCCGACCATTCCAGTGTTGAGATTTTTTGGTGCGTGTGGTGGGGGCGGGCAGGGGGAGCTATGACTTGACCGCCAGCACATGGGAGAATAGCTGCATGACACTCGATTTTCACTGCATGTAGTGAGTTCATGGGTATTAATAAGCCTTTACACAGGAGCTGAATAATTCCTTCCTTATCTTCACGTACTGTGTTCTGTTGACATCATGGAAAGTTCTCGGCTTGAGACAGGCAGCGGACCAGCCTGAGGTAATCACCTGCCGTACCCTCCGAAAGGGACAGCAGCATGCATTCCCAGACTCTGGGGAGAGCAGCAGCTCCCTCTGGACTCTCCCTCTTCCTAGTTTTCTTTCTGAAACTGCAGATTTCTTACCTTGGTGTTTGTAAAACTTGCCTGATTACAAAAATTATCTGAAATGCTGATGAAAAACATAATTTCCTGGACTTTTTCCAGACCTGTTGAATTAGAATTCTGAGGGACGGTTTGGTTTCAACAGACACCCTGGTCGTGTTTACCATCTACGCAGATTTGGCAAACAGTAGTTTGTTTGAAGCCAGTTTATAGCTGCTGACTCACACGTTGGCGGGCCCGCTTTTGAAGAGGGGTGGTCAGCGGCTCCATCCTTGGAGACCCACAGCTGTGCTGGTCCTCCAGGCTTCTCTCATTCCAAGTGCGGTTCTCTGAAGGTAGCACAGGGCAGGGGAGCGGACCTGGGTGGGAAGAGATCCCCCCGCCCCCGCCCCCCCAGCCCCAGCCCAAGCTGTCATACAGAAGACATCCACAGCCTTCAGTTTGCCTCCGCAGAGAGGGAGAGATACAGAGATGGGGTTCTTTTCTCTGAGTCACTCGCAGCTTTGGAGTTCTGGTCCTCCCTGAAACTGACCATCAGAGGGTGTGTAGGTGTGTATGTGGATGTGTGTTTAGAATTTTTCCTTATTTTTTTATGTGGTTATTGGGTTATTTTTAATTCGGTTTACCCACTGCAAAAGTACTCCCTGATTAATCCCAGTGCTTTTAATTTGAAAGACAAGCAGAGTTTGTGCAACTCTCGGTCATTTCCCAGATCCGGAGTAGTATTCCCTGAGGTAAGCAGTCCCAGAGTTGGGAAATAATGGGCCTTATTTTGGGTTAACACTCACTTCCTGGATCCCTCCCCTCCCCTCGGGGCTGTCCTCCTGCTGCCACATTCTCTGCCCCTCTGCCCCTCCTCCCTTCCACAGCGGTGCCGCATGCTCCAAAGTCATCTCGCCCTCCCTTTTAAGTAGTTCTCCTGTGTCAAAGATAAAAAAGAATAACAACAGTAAATCATAACCCAGTGACTCTTATCTTCTAGATTTGATGACTTCAGCCAGATGGCAGAAAGAAGGGAGTGGATGAAATAAACTCACACCGCAGTGGCAGACTGGTTGAAGACTCACTGCATTCACAGACTATCCCAAGGACATTTACATTTTAAGACAGCACTTGTTAAGCTAAAGAAGTAGTCTGTAATACCGGATACCAGGCACTTTTCAAGGACAGTGAGGGGGAATTTGGGGCAGAGGGACCTTTAAATCACACCCCCAGGGCCATAGTTCACTCTGCTACCTGAGGTTAGCTGTTGATCTTAGAAACGTGTTGATACGGTGTTCAGCCAAGAAGGCCAGGGAAATATGCTTCAGACCGGTTAAAGGGCAAGTCCTGGCCTTTCTCCCCACCCTGCTCATCTCCTTGACCTCCTGCAGGGTGTTATGTGACTGCACTCTCTGCAGAGTGGGTGCCAGGGCAGCAAATGGATCCCCTGTCAGCGAGGGCCCACCCCCGCAAAGCGGGAGCTGCACAAACCCACACAGTCAAGGGTCCTCACATTGTCATTCTTCAAGGCTGTTGACTTGTGGACTAAGTGGGTGTCGGTTACAGCCCTTTCACGTAGACAGAACCGAGAACCTTTGGCACGAGCTCTTATCACCGTGTAAAGGTGAAAAATTGATTGGGAGAAAATGTGGCACTTTATGGTGCCTCGTGTCAGTTGAAAGTTTAGTCTGTACCACCAAAATAATATGCAAATCCACATCCAGGCAGGCTTGTTTTCCCCCTTCATTAGAGGATTCTGCATTAGGAAATAAAAATCTTTTACAGCATAAATGCAAAGGAATAGCAGAGCAAGCACCGCGTACCCTTGCCCCTAAGCCTAGATACAAACTGTAGTCACTCATCAAGCTATGTGGTGACATGGTCTGCTTCCTGCTCGTCCTTGGGTCCTTGGGTATTGTGACTGCTTGGTGATGGGACAGACCTACAGAGACAAGGTTGGACGTGGCTGTCTTGCATTCTATTTTCCACCCCCTCTCCACACATTTATACTTCCCACATTAAATAAAAATCTGAAATGTTGGCAACAGAAATGTGATGGGCCTGATTTCCCTCATCTATGAAGTATATGGGATGATACTGAAGAACCCCTTTGGCTCAAGATCAATGATTTAAACGTTCCAAAAGACTTGTTTTCCTGAGGGCCTTTAATGTAGTGCTTTGAGTGACTCCTTTGTGTTAGAGTGTTTGAAATTACTCACTCTTCGACTGAATTGGAAGAAACAAGTACAGATATGTTATTATGGAATAGGAAAAAGTTTATCAGTAATAACTGATGCTTTCTGGGTGCTAGTCTCTGTTCTGAGTGTTTTACATGTATTTTGTTTCTAGTTCTCACAGCAGCCTCATGAATGGTTGCCCTTTTTGTGGCTGTCCTGAGATGGGGAAACTGAACTGAAGGGGTTTGGGGTGACTTCCCCAGGGTTCTACACTGGCTAGCTGTGCTGCTGGGCTGGGGACCTCGGGCAGCGTGACTCCCCGGTCTTCACGCTTAGTTACAGGCCGTACTGCCTTCCCAGCAAACACCAAACAGGGGCCTAGAAGAGTGGTCTGCCACCTGGCAGGACAGGTGTCCTCTAGGATTATGGGAAGGGAGCCAAAGAGAACTTTTGCCTTATCTGTATCACTTGAATTTCTATGTATAATGATAATGTGTTCATGAATTACTTAATGCAGTTGAAATTGTGTCAAAGTCTAAAATTGCCAAAGTCCTAAGTCAAGTTATTAATTTCTGTAAATTCACTGCTACTTTAGAATTTTTCTTCCATTAGAATCTTAAAGGTAGTGGGGTACCTAGAGATCATTTAACAAGATCCCCTCGGTGTTCAGATGAGGAAACTGTGGCTGAGTGACTTCTCGCAGAGCTGGTTTGTGGCAGAGCAGGTCTGCTGATGCCCAGTTTTGGGTACTTCCTACTGCATGTTTTGAGACATCCCTTATGTGGAGTCAAATGTACAGATCTCAAGGGAACAGTTTGAGAGTTTCAACAAATGACTGTCTGTACACATGTAACTGATTTCAAACCCAAGATGCAGATCATTTCCATGACCCCTGAATATTTCCTTGTTCTAGGCATCTTTTTGAACTCGTTGCTTTTGTTCATTTGTGTGCCTTACTGATCCTTACTAACGTAAGGATTCAAGTGTTTACATTTTATATGCATCCACACATTTTACAATTCTCAGCTAAGACACACCTTAGTGTGTGGATACATCCTTCAAGATACAAATAGGGTTTTCACAAAGTCCCACACTCTTCCTATCTTTTACAAACCAGTGCCTAATTACTGGGATTGCTAATTGGTATTCCTTGTTTATAATCATTCACTCAAGCTGGTCTTTAGCCCGACATAATTATCATTACATACAAAATTATTCTTCAGTCCTTTGATGCCCAAGCTCCCCGGCACATGTATAGTCAAAGTCCATGTCTTTTTCTTCCTTCAACCAAGTAGTTTCTATATTAAAATTTTGGAACTTCTGTAAGAATAAGACATGTTTACTAAAACCAGTGCACCTGAGCATGAACAATTGAAGTCTGCTGTGCTCTGTGTTAACTAGAAAAGCATGCCAGCTAAGTTGCTGGTGAATCAACACAGCAATAGTCTGTCAGTTTGGCTCCTTGCACATCCTTCTCTCTCCCCACTCGGTCTGCTGCTTGCGCTCGGTGAATGGTGTGTATGTGTGAGTGTCTGTCTCTCTGAGAGCTGCTGTCCAGCAATGGTACCCATGTGCTGATGAACAATTTTAAAACCGAATCCATATTTACAAGTATGGGGAATATTCTCTGGTACGAGCGAATCTTAATGCATATAATTTTCACATCTAACACATTATGGTCCCCTTTCTAGATCTTGTTATATACAGAATTATCCTAAAATCCCTAGGAAGTATTCCCAAAAGGAAATAAAGTAATTTTTATAGATATGTTCATAGCGCTGATGCTGTAATTGTGAAAATTGGAAATAACAGAAGTGTTCAATAATAGAAGAAAGATTATGTGGTAGAGAACTATATGGTTACTAAAAATGATTGCTATATGACCAAACTGACACATGGAAATACTTAAATAAGACAATATTAAGTGAAAAAGAAGATCCTAAAATTTCTAGTACTACATAAAAGTGATTTGCAGCTACGCAAAAATATTTATACCTTAGTAGAACTGGGTTATAACATTTTATGCATAAAAATAGTTTCAATTTTCATGTTTTATAGGGTTTTCAAAAATATTTTTATTTTGAAATAATTTTAAACTCTAGAAAAGTTTCAAGAATGATTCTAAGAACTCACTCTGACCTTATTTATCCTTTACTTGTCACCAATTTTTAACATTTTGCCACACTTGTTTTATCATTTATCATTCTCTCTTTCCATACACACGTATTTCTTCCTGAGAGTAGGTGGCATATATCATGTCCGTTTACCTCCTAATTCTTCAGTGCATCATTTCTAAAGTAGGGATAGTCTCTTAAGTAACACCATGGAATTATTAAATTCAGGAAATTTTACACGAATGTAATACTTTTAAAAATAAACAATTTATATTTAGTCTATATGCCAGTTCTGTCCGTTGTCCCAATATTGTCCTATTTTAGCGTTTCTCCACTTCAAGGCCCAGTCCAAGATCATGTATTGCGTTTCATGTGGTCTCTTTGGTTTTCTTTAATCAATCTGGAAGATGTCTGTTTTTCTTTGTCTTTTATGACATTGACATATATGAAGAACACAGGTCAGTTATTTTATATTCATCTGTTTGGGTTTGTATGATGTTTCCTCATGATTTGATTCAGATCTCCTCATGATTAAATGTCTGGCTAGAAAACTACAAAAGAAAGCGCATGTCCTTCTCAGGGGATAACATCTGGAGCCACATGATGTCCACCTGCTCCTCATTGATCTTGTTAATGCTGATCGCTGATTGAAGTACTGTCTGGTTTCTCCACAGTACAGTTCCTGTTCCCCCTCCCAAATGATAAGCGGTCAGAGGAGCGGTGCATTAAGAGCACGTAAATGTCATGCTCCTGACCTTACTCTCTCCCTGATGTAGCTTGGTGTGTGTGTGTTCCTTTTTAAAGCCACATTTTCCAAGGCTTATTTACATCCTAGATAAACAGGAAACAGGTGTTTTTGCGGAGGCTGTCCCTTTGACTGTATAATATCCCCATTCGAACCTGTTTAGTGGGTACCACAATTGAAGCCTATCTCAAAATGTTATCTTCTTCCCTATCCTTAACTAGATTCAGCATCTTCCTCTTTAACCTCGAGGAGCACTTTGCATTTTCTTTGGGGCACGTGTTAACTTCTTTGTGCTTGCAACTTGTGGTGTACTTCCCTTATTCTACTTACCAGACAGCAAGTGCCTTGAGGATATAGACTGTATCTTAATCATTTCTGCATCCTCTGCTAGGCCCGGAAGAGGCAATCAGTGGGAGGCACGTTATCAGTGTTTATTCATGACATGTGTGTTTACACCGACTACTCACTGCTTCCAGTGTGCTAATTGAATACCCAGTTGCATATTTCAGGGACTTAGTTTCATCTGTTTAACATCTCTTCACCTCCTGTTTAACAACATTTTGCTGTTTTTTGCTCATGAAGTAAGAGTGGAAACCCTTCAGTGTCTATCATTTCTGTATTCTTAGCTCAGGTATTAAGAAAAGTATTGAGTGAATGGGATGTTTCCTTACAGTTTGGATGTGTGTTTCATGTTTCCATCTAAGTCTCTCACTAGGGCACTGGGCCAGCTTCTCCTTGCTTTGCCACGAAGGTATAAAGAGGTCTGTGCTTCCTCTGGGGCATTCTTCTAACACTCATTAAGGATGAGTCCACGTGTATTGAGAGAACAGATCCCTACCTAAAGGTTCCCCTGTGTACTGGCTTTAGAAACTGAAAGTATAAGCTGCCAAAAGCATGAGACTTAGGCGCCAAAGTCATTAATTTGTTCAGATAGTATTAATTTGTTCTGCCAAGACATGTAAGAACAACCATTAATTTAGTTTGTAAGTTTAATGAACGACTGGAAGAACCAAAACTCTAAGTAGGTCAATCAAATGTTACGGTACAACTCAATCACAGCTATACTGGGAAGGGGTGTCCAGACAGATGTCACTAGCCTGTTTGGAAAATATAAAATACATTAAAAAAATCTCTCATTTTTTAAGTGTTGTTTTTGAAAAGGGTGAAACCACGTAATTCTTCATAGTGGGACTTTCCTTAGAACATGAGCTAGTCTATTATTTTAAAGATAATTTTACAATTTTATAATAGTTTTAGATTTCCAGAAAAGTTGCAAAGATAGTACAGAGAGCTCACATATACTCTTTACCCAGCTTCCCCTGTTGTCGACATCCTGCATCACTACGTGCAGTTGTTAAAAGTTAGAAATAAACATTGGTACATTATTATTACACTAAATACTTTATTGAGATGTCACCAGTTTTTCTCTAATGTCCTTTTCTTTGTTCTGGGATCCCACCAAGAAGGACATCATGTTACATTTAGTCATAGTGTCTTCCTCCCGAGCCTCCTCTGGTGTGTGACAGCTCTACAGACTTTGCTTGTCCTTGGTGACTTTGACTGTTTTCAACATCCTAGTCAGGTTTTTTACAGAATGTCTCTCAATTTGGATTTCCTCAATGTTTTTCTCATGATTAGACAGAGGTCATGGGTTTGGGGGAGAAAGACAGGCATAGTGCCATTTTCATTACATCATATTAAGGTTACATACTATCAACATAACTCATCATGTTGATGCGAACCTTGATCACCTGGCCAGGGTATTCCAGTTTTTCCACTGTAAAGTTACTTCTTTCTCCTTCTCCATACTCTACTCTTTGGAAGCTGGTCACTATGCCCGCCCTACTCTAAAGGGTGTAGGATGATAGAAAGTTAAGTTCTACCTACTGGAGAGGAGAGTATCTACATAAATTACTTGGAATTCTTCTGAAATGGAGATTGGTGTCTTCTCATTTATATACTTAACCATTTATTTTCATCAGTATGGACTCATGGATATTT